CAGTTAGAAGACGTGCCACAGTTGCTGGAACGGCGGATTCAACGAGCCTCGAGAAATTTCTGTTGATTCTGAGCTCTACACTCCTCTACTTAGGATCTCCGTCACTGGCTTCACTCTATCAAACCCTCAAAGAAACGATTCGAAACTTGAAAGGACAGGAGAAGCAAATTTCAGAAGACGTCATCTGTAGAGCGATTGAGAATCTCTTCATGCTTGTTCATGACTGAATAATTTGTGAATATGCTTCAATCTCTTCTTTGTTCCTCTTTTTTAATCGATAACCGTTTCTTTATACAATCTTCGCTTTCTATGCTACTGCTGTCACTTTAATACACATTGCCCTAATCGTTTCTGGTACATTAATTCCGATTTTAATAAATTTGCCAATTGATTCACTTTCTAGTCGGAAAATTNGGACGTTCCAATTTGGGACATTTCGACAGTGCACAGTTCGAATTAAAACAGTTCGATTCTGTCCTTGTTCTGTTTTGATACTTGTTCGAGAAAGACACTGTTCTGATTTGAATCAGTTCCACTTTAGGTCTGTTCGATTTTGAAAACGTTCGAATTCGTCGTACCCCCAAAAGACTAAATTTAAACGCGAAAGTAGCTCGAACGAGTCAAAAATCTGAAATATTACGTTTTTGCCGCGCTTTTTCGTAGATCAAAAAAAGCAAAAGTTTTCAAATTCTCAGGTCCCAGTTTTTTTTAATTTGACAATAAGAAGGTCTTATTATTCAAAAAGTCTTCTCCGAGTGGACAACACGAGGTTTGGGTTTCTAGGTCACTCCCGCTCTATTTTCCAGTTTTTAGAGTGACCGAGAATACCAAACGTCGTGTACTCCTCTCGGAAAAGTTTAGAAATTCAAGTTTTTCGCTGAATTTCAAGCTTTTCCGAATGTCAAAACTCTCTGAAGATCGTCTAAATCTTTGTGCGAAGTTCGACGATGATACCTATTACACAAACTTTCAAAGCTATTACAATATTGTCGCTCAAGTGCACTCAGTGGTTTTGACTGCCAGAAATATATATGTTTTGCGTGTTTGGAGAGGCTCATCGTTTGGACCAGAGCATTTGTGAGCTAATTTTTGAAAAGAAAACTGTATTTTTAAATGTTATTTTTCTCAGAAAGGAAAAGCGAGAAGCTGGAATGTTTCATATAAACGAAGAAATGTTTGGATCCTATATCGTTCCACCAGATAATCAAATTTTGAAAGTTATCGAACGATTTGGAAAATCGTATTTAATCGAGATTGTTGTCTATGATAATCATATTGAAACTGTGAAAACATTGAAGTCCCTCGACTTTGTTGCAATTAAAAATGTCCATGCTTTCACGAGAGGTGACTATCTAACAATGACTCTTCATGGTGGAAATGGTAGTTTTGATCGTGGAATTTGGGTCGTTCCCGAAACTTCTGAAAATTCGAATTTCCAAAAAATGAGAGAAGCATGCAATGTGTTGTTGATGAGTGTTCAAAACGACACCGATGACGTTCAAGAATTCGGAACACTTGGTTCTGATGAAACAGGCTGTGATGTGCCTGTTATTTCTAGAAATCCCGAAGAGAGACAAATCGCAAAGGCTTGCAATAAAATTGTGATTGGAGATCAGATTTCTGTTGATTATTTTGTGTAAGAGAGCTGTTTTTCGGGGGAAATTCTCGAAAAAAAGTATTTTCACGTGAAAATTCGATGTTTAATTTTACGCGGATTATTTGAACACATTTCATTTTTTCACGTAAAAATTGAATTTAAAAATTTCACGGGAAATTCGATAAAATTCACGTGAAAATTTAAATAATTTTACGTGAACTATTTGAACACGTTCCATTTTTTCCCGTGATAATTAAAAATTCAAAGTTTCACGCAAAAATCAAAATTTTAAAATTGTCACATAAAAAAATTATAGTTTCTGACTTTCACGTAAAAATTGAAATTTCGAATTTCCACGTGAAACTAGAATTTCAAGTAATCATTTAAAAATTAAAATTTCGAATTTTCACGTAAAATTAAATTTCGAATTTGCACGTGAAAAAATAAAACGTGTTCAAAAAGTTCACGTGGAATTTTTTTTAAAACTTCGTTTTCACGCAAAAAATATCGAAATTTCTGAAATTCTGAAAATGTGAAATTTCCAGAAAATCCTCAAAATGCAACTACCATTTTTTGACCCATGCACACGCTGATCATTGTCGCGGAATCAGTGCAAAGTTTCCGAATAAAGTGTATTGCAGCAAGGAAACTGCCAAAATTTTGCATTTAGTCGTTGGGTAAGATTTTATTATTGTTGTTCGAAAAAATTAGAGTTAGAGAGTATTTTTTGTAGTCTGTATACGGTAGATATCTCGAAGCGACAAGCCTAAATAATACATATTCGGCGGGGGACACTAAAAGTTAAGCAGAGAAAAAATGTAATTTTTCAGGGAACCCCTTCCGGAAGACCTAATTCATCCTCTCGAACTCAATATCCCCTATAAATTCGAACATTTACAAGTGACCGCAATCGATGCAAATCATTGTCCTGGAGCAGTGATGTTCGTGTTTCAAGGACCGTTAATTGATGAAATCGCGGGCGGTCCGGTTCTCTGTACCGGTGATTTTCGTGCCGAAGCATCGTATATGCGACAGTTTGAGAATGAGAAGCTTAGTTGGGTCAAGGACATCGATTATTCTAGAATCTATCTGGATAATACGTATTTCTCAGTAGATGTTGCTTTTACGTCAAGAGAGATTTCAGAGCAATTGTTAGTGCATTAGAGCAGGAATGTTCGGAATGGCATTTTCGGAATGTTGAAAATTCCGATTTTAAAAACTTCGGAGCATCGGAATATTCCGGTTTATAATTCGGATCTTCTGATTTTTTAAAATTCGAAATATTTCGAAAATCGTAATTTTCCGAGATTCCGAAATTCAGAAATGTTAATAATCGGAAAATTCCGAATTTCCGAAGTTTCGAAGTTTTAAAAATTCCGAATTTTCGAATTTTTAAAAATCGGAATAGTCCGAATATCCGAAGTTTCTAAACTTCGGAATTTTCCGATTTTGAACATTTCTGAATGACTTCCACCACAGTGG